AGAATGCAAATTTACACACACCATAAATGCTCTTCACATTTGTGAAGTTCTTCATATCTTTCTCACTCAGAAAGATACTCACCAAGAAACACCATGTACCTTCAGCATCACAGTCTTTTTCAGTCTAACCAAACATATGCTTCAGTGGGTTAATCTAAGTTATTACAATGACCTGGTTGTATCCTAAAGTGTAGACATTGCTTGCCCACCCTCAGAAGAAGATAAATCAGGTCGTTCAAGAGAAATCCTTAAAAATCATAGAATTTTATCATCAGAAGCAATGGAGACAAGAAAAATCCTAGCTAAGTGAATATCGTGATACAGTCAACCACTTTCCTGGACTTGCTTCAGTATGAGCGCCTCCATTTATCACATTCAGGACAAGGGCTGACACTGCTACCCACTCCCACTTATGCACTGTGGAAAAAGATACAGGTTCCAAGTGGTCAGCTACACAGCTCCCAGTAGAAAGAGACCATAAAATACTTGGAGAGAGGGAAAGCAAAAGGGCAAAGGGAAAGAGAAATCAGAAGGGGAAAAAAAAAAAAAAAAAGAAAAAAGGAGCTGTAGGAGATGCTTTTCATCTAATTTTAAGTTGATGTATTTGTTAAGGGATTGTTAAAATAAAAACAAAGTGCTGATATGAAGTAACACCTGAATGGAACTGATTCATAAGAAAAAAATAAGGGTTTTTTTCCCACTCCAGGTAACTAAGCACCAGGTCATGCAAAGTCCAAAGCAGTGACCAAAGCAACTCTATTCTGGTTGGTTCCATTACAGCAGGACAGGATCCTCTCAGGTGAACTCTGATCAGACTCAGCCCAAAGTCCTACCAGCTGCAACAGGAACTTCACCATTTTGCAGTCCAGAGATGAAAGTTTTGCCTGAGGAGGGCATGTTGAAGAGGGCACAAAAAAGAAATTCCTTCTAAGTGTTCTTGTATTGCCTGCTTAATAGAATCTTAATAAACATAATGCATGTGTACACTTGTACTAAATTTTAAAGGTCCATAGGGCACCACACAAAGACAATGAAGACACCATTTAGCACTAGTTAAGAATGGACATGCGTCTGTTTTCTTTACTCAAGCTGTGATACAGCTAACCAGTAAAGCTGGAGTTAAAGTAGGGGACACAAAAACTACAGCACCTTAGATGAGCTGATGAAATGGGTTACAGAGTAGAAAATCACTGAGGAAGGTCAGAGATGAGTAGAGAGGACAAGGCATGAGTTGGCTGGTGCAGAGGAATGGAAAAGGTAAGGGAAAACTTGAGACCTCCTTTCAAGTGACAAAGACATCACATACCTCATATGTTGTCAAGAGCACATGGAAGTGAGATTGCTCCTTCAGGTTCTGCTGCAGTTTGGGGCGCTCCTCCTTGTTGCCTATGTACGTCACAAAGGAAAGACCTGGAGCAAACCTGTTGTCAAGAGAAAGACAGAGCAAAAACAGTGAGTCAAGTTAAGTCTTTCATGTGTTTACGACCCTGGACCCCATTACCAAACATAGCTACTGCACAGATAATGAGAACCTCCTATCCAAACACCCTGCCCTCCTGTGAGATGTGGCTGGATCTCAGCTTCTGAACCTAACCCCTTCCTGATTAATTTGCATCTCAGGTTGGCACCTCAGCTGCTGGTTCTGGTTTGGGCAGGTCCCAAATAAACTGCATTCTCCTAGGTCTCAAAGTCCAAGGCAGATGATTGAAATCTAGTCTTATGGCCCATCTGTTACACCAAGCTGAAAAAGCTCATGAGAAGCAGGTGAATGAATACAGTTCGCCCATTTGGGACCAAAGAATTGGCCTAAATCATGCTAAAATGAAGGCAAACAACGTCTGCAGCAAACAGGTCCAAGTCAGGGCCTCAAAAATCTATCCCCTTAGCCAAAAAGCAGATAAAAACAGTTCCATGGAGGAAGAGTTGGGACCATAAAATTCTTACTTAATCCCACCACTGATATTTGCCTAATATTCCTCCTGGGTAGCTGTTCATTGATGATCTACGAAGGGATGTACTTTCCCCCAACTATTCCAGCTGCAAGTCTATCCAAATCAGGCTAGCTGACTTCAGAATGTAAGCTGGATGACTTCAGATGCTGAGAGACATCATCGCCCAACAGTCACACAGACAGACTTCTGTTCTAATCTTGAACTTTCTGTCCCCCCTCTTAAAAGGTGTCTTCAGGTTCCAACTCAAAAACGTACAGATTCTGGGCATAGTGAATGTGCTGTCAGCACAGTCATTGCACCCCAGTGAAGACAGGTCGCATGCACAGATGTAAGGTAATTTGCATGCATATGTAAGCATGCCAAGAAAGATACTATTCAGCTTGGGTCTTACCTTTCATCATACAGAATCCTGGCTGTCTTCAGCAGATTTTGCCTAAGGGAGGCTGAGCATGGAGGGTTACAAATCAATAAAAAGCAAGGAGCTAGTGGGGGCAATTTGAACTGAAAGTCAGCCAATACTATAAGCTAGATGAATGAATGCATATCAAGGCGTTGTAAAGACTATGCATTAACTGCATAGTTTGAATTGATTTGTTGGTTTAGAAGCTTCCTTTTTTACTTTTTTTTTTCCTTTTGAAAGGAAGAAAAACGTTGGACTGAGCACTTTGAACAGAATCTTTGTAACTTGCTGTGTAGGAATACAATGAGCCAGACAACTGTTGAAACTTACCTCTCAAGTTCCTCCTTCCAGTTGCTCAGAACGGACAGAGGACAAAGTATCAGAAATCTCTCTTTGTTTGTTAATTTTTTTGTCAAATAAAGAAGCAGAGAAATAGTCTAGAAGGCAAGGAAAATAAATTTTTTTATAACAAGGACAGGGTTCAACCCAATAGCCTGAATCTACATAACCTGTCTCCTTGTTGAGCTTTGTAGCTAGTTCCCACATGTTCTCTAAGCAGAGCTAACAGAATATCAAATGAAATTCACTATCAGTGACAAAAAAAGCTTAGATCCCAAAATGTGACCTCGATATCTGGAGCCCCTTTCCAAATACCTTTCTCTCACAGTCACAAAAAAGAAGATCTACCACACATCACTTTCTAAAACTAACAGTTTGTTATTTAAGACCCATTGAATACCACCAGCTGAACCAAAGCACAAGCAGTCATTTTACAACAGAACCGAAACCCATTGAAAAACCTACCAAATTAAAAAAAAAAAAAAACTCTGAAAAACTTGTACCTGTAAATTTTAATCCATGTTGACAAACTCAAAAATCATCTTGCTGCAGGTGTATCAGAATGACACCATCCTCTCTGTACTGGCTGTGTATTGTGCCTTCAACTCTGCACACTATGAATTATGCATTAAGATGTCTGTATAAAATGACCACTACTCTTTCTATGAAACCCTGAAACCTTTTTAGAGTGCTACTCCAGACTTAGCAGTTGTTTTAAGTGATTAAGGAATGAAAGAAACAATGAGCTCTCTGAGTATGGACTTCAGCATGGAGCTGCTTAACTGACCAATGATCAGGGTGCTTTTTTCTTTTTCATTCTGCAGAAACTGAAAAAAAAAGTTAGGCAAAGATAATTTTCCAGAAGAAAAAAGGGAGAAGACACACCTGACAAGTCTTCCCAAGGCCCATCTCATCTCCCAGGATACAGCCATGCTGGACTTCATAGCATTGCACCAGCCAGTTTACACCTTCTATTTGATAGGGACGCAGCTTAATGCCTGGGAAAAAAAGCAATTTGTTACATTTACACCTTTATCCAATACACTCCATGCACAGTTACACCCTGAAGCCACCTGAAACAAGGTTCGGCCCAGTACAGGCCTTCCCAAACATCTGCCTTACAGGCAAAGCACACCAGTTTTCAGCAGAAGCTGGTTTACCCTGCTGCAGAGCAGAGACACTGGTGTTAAGCAAATCCATTAAATTAAACCATATTCAGGAACTCGTACACACAAGAATGCCCCAAGTCATTACAAAGGCCTGTACAAGGAACCTAATCTGATAATTAAGCCGCTACTTTGCATTCCTAAAAAGACAGCTTGATTTTCAGCTCCAGAAACTTTTTAAAATATGTAAATACTAGATCCAGGGACACGCTTTAGGCTACCGGAAATGTTTCTAACAATCTACTATCGTATAACAATAATTTCTCAACAAGATGTTTTCAAGTTTTCCTGCACTTAAGCTAGGGCAGACCTCAACTGTCGGTCGCTGTAGCTACCGCCACCATTGCAATCTTATTATGGGACACAACATGTCAAAACAAACACTAAACAAGCCAAGCAGGAGCTCTGGAGATCTGTCCTTGCACCTGGACGCAGGCGCTGGGTACTGTTAATAACTCCGTGCCACTGCTGCCCTCTCCTCCCGGGGGAAACGTGCGCGTCGAGAGCGCGAAGGAACCCACCAGCCCGCAGCAAACAGAAACCCCAACTAGCGCAGGGATTGAAATACGGGCTCCCCACAGCTCAGGGAAACACGCCAGCAGGCTGGGGCGGCCCGGGCGCCCCCCTTTTCCACCCACCCCCCCAGGCAGTGGAGAGCACTTTAAAGCACTCACGCTTAACATCGACCCGCTCTGAGGCCCTGCTGATCTGCCACCCTTGTTTATTAACATCTTTATTTATCTCGGACCTGGGGGGCTGTTAAAAATTACGGCTGCGCAGCACCAGGCACCCGCAGGGGCCCCTCCGCCGCGGCCCCCCCCCCCCCCCCCCCGCCGCGCCTTGCCGCTCCCTCACCGCCCCTTCCCCCGGGCGGCCCGGCCGGCTGCCGGCGGCGGCCCGCTGACCTGTCAGACCCCACCGGTAAATGTCCGCCTCCTCCACGCCCGCACCCCCCGCCCGGGCGCTGGCGGCGCGGCGAAGCGCCTGGAAGAAGCGGGACATGGCGGGGCGGCGGGAACGCTCCGTCTCTTCCAGGCACCGGTAGCCACCGCGCGCTTCCCGCCTCTCCCCCGCCGCCGCGCCAACCCCCGGGCGGGGCGCAGGCGCCTTCGGTGCGCGGGCAGGGCCGTCCCGCAGGCGGGGCGAGGCCCCAGCACCGCCCCGGCAGCCGGAGGGAACTCGCTGCCGGCGGGGTCGGCTGAAGGACGGTGATGGCGCCGGTGCTGCTGCTGCTGCTGCTGCTGCTCTTCTCGGCGCTGCCGGCCGCCGCCTACCTGTGCTGTGTGCGGCGGCACACGGGCAGCGCCCGGGCCGTGCTGCGCCGCCGGGAGCCGGGCCGGGCCGAGGCGCGGGGCCGCAGCCCGCCGCGGGACCCCGTGAGCGCCGGGGAGGGAGCGGGAGGGAGCGGGCGGGCGGGCGGGCGGCGGGGAGCGGGGCTCGGCGCTCACCTCTCGCCTCCTCTCCGCAGTGGGCCCCGCGGCTGTGCGGCGCCGGGCTGCGCCTCTTCGTCCATGTGGCCAACACGGTGAGTGGGGGCGAGGGGCGGGGGGGCCGCCCCGGGGCCGGCGCCTGACGGCGCGGCGGGAGCCCGGGTAAACAAGGCAGTAAAACCCGAGGTTGCTCTGGGAAAAACGGAGGAGGCCGAGACTGCCGAGGGTTTCGGAGGGAGGGGGTTCTCCCTGGGAAATTCCCTACCAAATTCCCAAAAGCCTGCGTTTGGTAGGGGGTTGCAGGGACGTTGCGGCTTCCTGCGTGCTGTCAGGTTCACCCTGCCCCTCAGGTGGGATGCCGCGGGGGCAGAGCGAGCTGGCTCCTCTGTGAGGGTGTCAGGAGCGTCTTCGGGTAGGGAGAGCCTGAAGCCGACAAACAGAATACAGCCGCCACCAATTTTCCTCGGACACGAAGGGATTTGGGTCCCGCCAGTCCTCTGAGGGGGGTTTTCAGGAAGGCGCTGAAGCCAGCTGTCCCCCAGTGTTCTTTCTCGGGCGGGCTTCAGCATTGAAGGCAGCTGTCCCCCGCAGAGCTCCTCTGGTGGGCTTTGGCATTGAAGGCAGCTGTCCCCCTAAAGCTCTTCCTCGTGTGGGCTTTGGTGTTGAAGGCAGCTGTGCCCCCTGAGCTCTTTCTTGGGTGGCCTGTGGGCTGATTCCCGCTGTGGCTGGTGTGGAGGAGGCGTGACTGCTGTGTGGCAGGGCGCTGAAAAGCTCGTGTCCCCTTGGCAATGAGCGCCTCGCGGTGTTGTCCACCCGAAAGCAGGTGGATTTTGTTGCTGCTGCCTGGCCTTTCTTTTTGAGCCAGCGTCAAGGTTAGGCACGAGAGTCATTTCAGCAGTGTGACCTGTTACAAAGCTTGGTGGCTGGCTGGGCCTGGAGTGAGAGCTAGGGGTGGGCTGTGTTTGTTTGTGAGAATACCTTGCAAGTGGCTTTCTTCCAGGATATAACAACTGGAATACCTTTCTATCCTTTGCTTTGTGGCTGCTTCTGGTGCGTGGCCTTGGGCTTGTTTCCTTTCCTGACATCCCCCTTCAACGTGGGATGCAAGATTCTCAATTTCCTACAGGACTGTCCTGTTTTAGATTAGATGTTGATTAGGAGCAATGGATTTTCAAAAAGAGACTGTAGTTCTTATGTAATATGTGAAGGCAACATATGGCATCATGGATCTAGGAGTGTGAGCCTTGCTTCAGACTTACGCTGTATTTGTACATCCCTTATCATGTTTTTCAAGTCCATTGTTGGGTTGATAACACAGGCTAGAACAAGGCTGGCATCTTTGGGACCACTGGTATTGCTACACTGGGAACTAAGGTATTCAAAGTGTTTTCAGCTGTTTGCTACCATGGAGTCTCTAAATTTTTCATGCTTTTCCGAGTTGACTCGTTTTACTGCAGGAGCTGGTTGAGTGACAGGAAAGATCCTAACAGGATAAACAAAATAATAATAAGTTACTACTTCATCCAGTGTTTGCATAATCTGTGGTGTGTGATGGAAGTAAGGGATGGGAGCTATACAGATGCCTCTTAACAGTGTTGCAGCCTGCAGGTGCAGGCTTTCCAAGCCAAGTCAGGGAAGGACAAAGGCAGGAGAGTCAGAAGAATACACTCTTTATAATTATATAAATATCGGGTGGGGTGAGGAAAGCATTTTGGGACAATTTTGTGGCCGGAAATACAAGTATTTGTGCTATTTTTTTACTACATAGCATTGCATGCTCTCTAGGGTGCTCTGAGACGGTGGGCACATTGAGCATTCCTTGTCTAGTGAGGAAGGTGTTCAGGTCAAAGTTACTGCAAACCAATGTTTTTGCTTACTTTCTTCTAGGCTTTTGGACAGATCTGCTTACTGCCACCCTTAATGAGGTAAGAGTGGAAAGTTTTCTCCCCCTTCAAGTTTTTTTTGTTTGTTTTTATTTTTTTTTTAAAGTGCTTGCATTGCACACCACTTGCAAGTTATCTGAAATGACCTTTTCTAAGAGGGAAACTGCATGACTTGATTGGAGAGGGAGCAAGATTAATTCATAGATGTTGTTTACAAGATTATTTTTTTTTAACTGCTCTGATTTGAGTGGGTCTCTACCAGAAGACATTAACCTTTTTTCACACTCAAGCAGGAACATAGAAACTGAATTCGCCAGCTTGCCTCTTTGCCATTCTGTTCTTTGCTGAAGAGCAGTCTTTCTTTCAAAGCTTGTGGATGTGCAGATCTGCTGTGTTTGTCACCAGTGGGGGTAAAAGAATAGTAGTGGTGGGAAAATGAGGCCAGACACGAAGGTCAGAGGTTTCGGCACGTTATTTTTAAAGATAGTAGTTTAGGTCAGCCTTTTCTTCTTCTCTCTCACTTAGTTTTATGTTTAGAAACTGTGCTTTCAAGTGTACATTACACTAAGAGCCACTCAGGTAAGAGGTGTCAGGAACCTCAGGCTCATGCTTGGCTCGCATAGTTTGCCTGTCATTTGATGGGGTCATCAGTGCAGATCCCAGGACACTGAGAAATGTGTTACACACAGTTGGTACCCCTGAATTTTCACTTGGGGCATGGGCCTTTTGAGTGAATCGAACCCAGACAAGTGTCACTGCTGTTACACAGCAGATCATTCCTTGACATCTATGACAGGGTCTGGATTTCCTTGCTTCGTGTTCCAAGCCCTGGACTTGTGCTGCACTCCTTGTTGTATTTGGTTGCAAATGAACTGTGTTGAAGCAGGCCATGAAAGGGTCTGAAGGGGTGCTTGTTTTAACAGGGTTAGTGATTGAATGTGTATGGCTTATACTACTTTCTCCTTTTCCTCCCCATTCTTGTCTTTGTTGGTCTGTGGGTGATGTGCCTAATTAAAGTGAATCAAAAACTTTCACCATTTCTTCTCCAGCTTGGATTTACGGAGGCTGAGCTGGCTTTATGTCAAGAGGTAGGAGGCTTTGTTAAGCAAGCAGAATAGATTTGATGCTGCCTTTAGGAAAGGTGTGAGAGTTTATTGTGTAACTGTTGCAACTCCCTGCTGTGAGAGCAGACTGTTAAGACAAAAATGTTCTTGGGTAAGGTTCCCTTGGAACAGTGTGAAAAATTAGTCATGGTAAATCTTGCAAACTCTAGCAGTGACTCTCTTTCAGGCTTAACAACTTCTCTCTCATGCGTTCACTTGACATTCACGAAGATCCCACGTTTTACCCGGAGGTCTCTGCGGAGCTTACAGAAGACAAGTCTGAGGCTAAAAGCACTTTGGATGTTATTGAGCAGTTGATCGATGCAAGGTCAGTATGTGATATGTAAGAGTGGAGTGGAAGATCACACATGTTGGCACTATTATATTAGTGGGAAGCTGTCCTTGTCAGTAATCCAGATTCAAATCTTTTTTCCATGCCCCTGCTACTTTACAAAACAGATAGGGCTGTCTGTCATCTTTCCTTTTGTAACTTACAAATCACATAAAGTTACAAGCAATGTCAAGTTTCTGCAAGCTTCAGGGAGTCTGCTTATTGGGGAGAAATTCTGCCCTTGCCAGGGTTCTAGTCGCACTATTGGAGGAGATGATACACTTAGTGGTGGCAATTCAGCACGCATATATCTCTTTAAGTGAGTTTGCAGGTGTGCTGTTTCTTGCCTGCAAGGAATCTCATGCAGGGGTTGTTTGGAGGAGAGAAGGAACACAGGTTACGAAGAAAACAATCCACAAGAAATTAGGCTTTGTTAGTTAGGTTGCTTGGGTAAAAGCCTGTTCAGCTTCTTGATTGCAGCCTGTACTTGATTAAATCTCACTATATTCCAGGTGAAAAGTTGTTCAGGCTCGTTTGTCTTGCTGAGGTGACAGCAGCTGGGCTGCTATGAGTGCTTTCCCCATCTGATTTTGGTTCTTAGTTGTGGGCCTATCCAGTAGTTATTGAAAATGTCTGAGCTGCACTTCATCAGTGTCTCAGAGAGTAGGTTCTCTGCATGTATCTTGGCTTTAAGCAGGAGTAAGCTTGCTCCGTGCTTGAGTTCTTTAGCTAGAGTAAGGAAAAACTTTCAGCTCTTTCACTTTAGAGGGAGGGGTGTATTTCCTGCAGGCGTTGCTTTCTGGTTCTTGTGTCCCCAGCTCTGCCAGTGAGATATGGAGTATGACAGAGCAGGTTACTGGAGCCTTACCTCTTTGCTGCATAGCACATTATGGTGCCGTATGCTGTCCTATTCCAGGATATGGCTTCTGGTTTGCATGATGATACGGGGACATCACAGGAGTAGTAATTGTAGCTAGCTCTTCAGATGAATTTATGCTCATCCCATTGTGATGAGAAGTGGTCTGTTTCTTCTGTGCTGGAGTTTTTGAGCAGTTTGTTGATGTCTATCCTTATGTGTGCTGCATAGTGCCTCTTAGCCCCCCCTGCAGCACACACTGTATGTACTGCTGGCTGTCTCTGGATCGAACTTGTGATGGAGATCCTGGGAGTAGGTTTACCAGTAGATTCTAGCTATTTTGTAACGCTGCAGTAGTGAGTAGCAAATGTAAACCTGGAATAAATTTTGAACAGTTTAATGACTGCTGTGTTGCAATAGAAATGTGAAACAACTAGAAATGCCATCAAGACTGACCCCTTATTTCTGTGGCACCCTTAGTGTACCTGGTGTCTGGCATGTGTGCAAGGAGCCTGACAGTGTGAGCCAAAATGCGCAGGCTAGTGGTCCAAACGGTGACCAGCAAGTTTACTGTGAGTGATGCCCAAACCTGCACTGGACTGTGATGCTGAAGTCTGCTGGTCTAAACAGAGATGGCTTTGGTAGTTTGCAGTTGCCCCTTTATTCATTTCTTTGCAGGTCTGATTCTGCTAGCAATGGATTTAGCTTCAAAGGGATCAAAGATTACTTGGACTGCTACCGGTAGGTGAAATTATGGTCTGGAAACAACCTGTCTCATGTGTTCCCCTGCTGTGGGCTGCTACTGTTCCACAAGCACTCAGACATCTCTTGTCCTCGAGGTACCACTGTTTAGCATCACCCTCTGCAGTCCTTTCCCTCTAATAGAATAACAAAGGAGAGCCAACTGGGAGAGCTGGCACAACTGTTACAAGCCCTTCAAGGATATTTAAATGCTGTTTTCCTTGGCTTATTGTCAGTCTTCTCTGGGAGAGATTTCTACATACCTTGTTTGCCCAAATACGTGAGTGAGAAGGAGAGGAAGGTTCATCTGGATGATGTGAGTTGCACATGCTGTGGGTCTCTGAAGAATCCCTTGGTTCCCCAACCGCTTGCACTCCTGTGAGCGGTTTACCCAGGAAACGTGTTCAGCTTGGGAAGAGTTGGTATCACATCCCCGACTCGGGGTCTGCAAGCTGTTGGCTGTTCAGTAACTCCTGGTTACCTCTGGGACGTGTGCCAGGCGTGGAGTGCTCACATAGATCCTCTTGCGCTCCTGGCACTTGTTCCTCGAGGGCCACCTCTGCCAGCAGCTGCAGCCTTGGAGCAAAAGGCTGACCCTGCAGCCTGATGTTACAGCTGCATCCTGACCGTGTGTGTTTCGTGTCAGCCAGAGATAGACGTGTTCGTGGTGTGACACAGCTTTTTACCAGGAGGTAGGGAAGGCCTGCTTGTTAAAGGTGGGATATGACAGTACAGCTGGGATCCCCTTCTCTGTAATGGGAGGCCTGTGTAAAGTGGGCTGGCCTCTTGGTCTTAGCTTGTGATACTGGGAGTTTCATAGCCTCAGGCTTTCAGGGGCTTGAGGATTCTCTGTAAAGCTGTCATCTCTCCTTCCCTGTTTATCTGGTGGTTCAGGAATATCTGGGTAACTCTCCTAGCTCCTGCCCCCCTACTCTAAGTGTCAGGGGCGTGCTGTGTAGGCAAATTCTCCCCTGAAGGAAGGGAGTCTCCTGTCCTGATGGTGTCAGCTGTGTTGAAATAATCACCAAACACAGATTCCTGCCTAGTTCTTGCTTACAGCTGTGACAGCTGCCATCTTGCTGCATGAAAGACAAAGCCTGTGTGTGGGGTGCGGTCTGGGGGTCTTGTAACAAGGTCCCAACTTCTCCTGTCCTATAGGAATGGGAAGCTGACGCCATCTCAGGTAGCAAAGAACATCATTGCCGTGCTGGAGGACTGCGACAAATCCACACCCCCGCTCAGAGCAATAGTGCAATGGGACCAGGAGCAAATCATGCTGGTAATGTCTGACTCTGGTAGGAAAGGGGCCTCTGCCACCCCAAGAGCAGTAGCATCCATTAGAAGGGACAGAGGGTCTTCTGCCAGTACACAGCACAGAAAAATACGTACATTTTTCCTCCTTCCTTGTGTAGAGGACTACAAACAAGTTTGCTTTCTTTCCTGCAAAGAGAGGTAGCACTAAAGCAATCTGTTTCCCGAAGGACGGTGACGTTCAAAGCGGGACTTCTGTGCTTATGTGGCATCCATCAGCATAGATGCTTCCAAGTAGTAGTTTCCCACCAGCATATGGTGCAAGAAGAAAGAAACTTTGATAGTTTGGCTTAGCAGCAGCCTGAGAAAGCCATTTTTGGCATCTGTTCTGATACTGGTAATGACCTTCAGCTCAACTAAATATATATAACATGCATTTTTTTTTTTTTTTCTCTGTGCAGATGGCTGAGGCCTCCACTGCTCGTTACAGGAATAAATGTACCCTGTCTTATCTGGATGGCATCCCAGTGTGTCTGAAAGAAGAGTTCAAAGTAGTGAGTTTCCTTGTCTAGCTGTCAGTTCATGCTGGAGGTGGTCAACCTGGACAACTCACTGCGACAAGGTTTTAAGGCCAATTCCTCAGCAGAAGCCTGAGAATATGTTTGTAGTAAGGGGTAGTATGTGGGTTTGTAATGAGTAGGATTAACAAGTTTTGCCAGGTGAAGACAGATCTTGGGTACAGCAGACGTGTTTTGTATCTTGTACTGATCTTCTTAATCCGTGGTGGGTGGAGGGTGGGGAACAGTCCTCCTTATGATGAAATGAGACTGTATAAAAAGTGTAACTGTATTTCTCAGGCACTGACTCTGCTCCACTGGCAAAGCATCCCTCTCACCTTAAAGGACATGTATCAGAAATATGCAAGCTACTTTGAAAATCCTCACTCACAAGGAGTTTTGCCTGTGGCCTAACAACAATTACCATTAAATACTCTGACGGTGCCATCAAGCTGTTGCAGGCTCTGCAGAAACCTACCTATAGGATGGGAGTACTGTTTATATACAGATTCTTCCAGTGCTGCCTCAAAGTGAAGAGTACTTAGCATACCCTGAAAATTAGTCCATCTGGTATTTTGGCTTTCATCTAATCTCAGTGCTTTGCTTCAAAGCACTGCAGATCTGAAACACTGCAGCTCTGTCTGTAGGAGAATGGAAAATAGAGCTCCTGTGTGCTGTGGGGCCAAGGTGAGTGTACTGCAGCCTCTGGGCATAGCAACCGCGTTGCTGCAGGGAGGCAGACATTTTGACCATCTAGGTGTTTCTGCTCTTCTGTATCATGGTATTAAAAGGACTCCTCTGCATGGGAGAAGGACCAAATAGGGAAGGGTTAAGTGTCCCTCCTAATAGGAACCAACACAGGGCAAGTTGAGGAGTGAAGCTTCCTAGCCCTTGCTTACCTCTGTGCATCCTAATGTCTGGGATCTGTTGTGGAGTTGAAGTGTGCATGCACGTGTGCCTGCCTGTCTTGATAGGGTTTTATAATAAGGTGTCTTCTTGCTAAGGTACCTTACCATCACCGAGTGGGAACAGTGTACCTTGGGACGGAGCCCGAAACAGAAGATGCTACTGTGGCCAAGAAGCTGCGAGAGGCTGGGGCTATCATTATTGGGGTCTCAAACATGCATGAACTAGGGACTGGAACAACTGGATGCAACCCTAATAGGTAAAAATCCTTTTCCCTTCTCTTCCCCCCAGCCTAGACAAACCTAAAAGTCTGTCCAGAACTGACAAAAATAGGGGGAGCGTGTGAGAATAAAACTATTGGAAGCACCCTGTGCAGGGAGAGCCCTAGGGGTATGAAAACACAGCATTGTAGGTTTGATGGTCAGAGTAGCTGTGGAAGCCCAAAGGCTCCTGAAACCAAAGGAAGGAGAGTGGTGTCTGCTGAGTAAGAAGCACCTTACAGGCCTGAAGGTGTGAATGTTTACAGGATGAGCGGTAGAAAAAAACAGTGACAGAAAACAAGTAAATAGTAATCTAGTGCACAGTCACAGTAACGGCTAGAGGTCCAGAACAGTGAGAAAAGGTACAGTCGTCTCAGGAGAACTTAGTGGTTTTATTTGCTAGCTAAAACAGGTTCACTGGAATTTGCTTTACTGTTGTGAATTCTCCGGCTATAGCCAGGCTGAGGACTGCTGTTCCAGAGCAGTGGTCCTCACAGCCTTGATAAGCCACGTGTAGAGCCACGCTTTGTGCCTGCGCAGCTGGATGGAACTGGAACTCCCCCCTCAGCTGCCACAACGTGCCAGGGCATTTCCTCACTGTGTGAGGTCAGCTGGATACCCTGCTGCCTGGCACGTCTCTCTGGTGTCTGGGGACTGTGGTCAGACTGGAGACTTTGGGAGCTGCTGCTCTGGGATAAAGGGGAGAGCTGGGGGTGCTGACTTGCTTGTCTGGAAGAATTGCTGGCCACCAACTGCTCCACCTTTTGGAATTGCAATAATGCACTGTGGGCTGCAGTAACGGCACAGTGCTGTCGCAGACAGAAGAGCTGGAGCAGCATCCTTTCTCTGTCTTTGGGTCTGTCTCTTGGATAGGCTGCTTATGGTAATGAGAAATTGGACTCTGAGGCAGAAGTCTTTTGTTGCATCTTGTTTTCTAGGGACATAGCGCTATCTGGGATTAAATGGCACGCTTTTACTAAGAGAACAAAATCCCTGAGCTGTGTTTCTGGATCTTTTTCTGCCCCGTAGTCCACGCGGTCCTTCCTAGGAAAAGATTCAACACTATTTGTCTGCTTCAGGTACCACAAGATCCCCAGGAATCCCTACAAGCCTAACCACTTCACAGGTGGGAGCTCCAGTGGGTCAGCAGCAGCTGTAGCAGCAGGTAGGTGGTCCTAAGCAGAGTTCAGGGGTGGTGGGAGGAAGGTCCTGAGCCAAAGTACCTCAGGCATTTAGTTTTTATGAGGGGGTTTAGAAGCTGGAGGGAGCTCCTAGCCGAACAGAGAGGTCTCTGTGCTGTCTTGGCTACAGCTGCTGGTAGAATGGACAGGGCAATACAACATCTCTCTGATCACATGCCAATGTGTGGTTTTTTTGGTAGGTCTCTGCCCAGTGGCTATTGGCACAGATGGAGGCGGCTCTGTGAGGATTCCTGCTTCGTTTTGTGGTGTGGTGGGGCTGAAAGGTAGAGCCTTTTAATCATGGAGGGCATGTGTGTGCGTGTGTGTTGTTGGCTGTATCAGGTAGAATGCCACAAACAAATTGGGCACAGTCCATTAATTTCTGTCAAGCAAAAATTGACCGGAGAAACTGGAGAAGAACACCCTGAGAGCCTCCTGGGTTGGACTGTCAGAGCAGAAGTATTCTCAGTACTGGCTATTGAAAAGATGTTCAAAAAACACCTAACTTACTTGAGTCAAATGCTAAACAGAACATGCATGCTGCTTTTTCTTTCTACCCACTCATCCCTCTTCAATCTTCCTTCTTTGCTGGGAGGTGTTCCCAACATAGTTGGGTATCTGTAGTGAGCTGATGAAAAGCATCTCCACCCATGATGGTTTGCCATCACCCCAATTATATGGAGAGGCTGATGCTGCTCAGATTTGCATCTGGTAAGCTGAACCTGGGGGCTCATAGCCATTGCCTCTTACATCAGTGTTACATGAAGCAGCAATGCAGTTTTTGCAGTGAAAATTAATGTAATCATGGAGAATGTGCAGAGGACATAAATACACAGGGCAGTGTCTACAGCATGGAAGGTGGCGAGGCAGGATTGTCACTTGGAAGAGATGCCAGCTTTTGGGAGTGGCTTATCATTCTGAAGGATCTCTGCTGCTTCATCTGAGACCAGATACTCAACCATTACTCTCTGTTTTTTTCCATCCTTCACATGTGATCAAGTTGATTAATTGTGATTCATCTGAGGAAGATAATGATGACAATGAAAAAAATGTAACTGGTTAGAAAGGCAGTATGAGTACTTGCAGAAGACAGCTGGTGTTAGGCATGAAGTCTCACTGGTGAAAGGGCTGAGATCTCCTGGGGGTGGTATATCCTGCTGTTGATAATCCTGCTCCTGCCTCTCCATCCTCCATACCATAGATGCCTCTTTTGCATATTCAAATGCACGGATTTCAAGATGTCCCCACGCGTATTTCCCCTAAACTACATAATTTCTTATGGGAAAAAACAGTCTCACTAATTGTTGAACAGATCTGTTTCACTGATGAGACAGATCACGGTCAGCAGAACAGGGTACTGAAAGATGAGTATCGGGGCTCTGAAACGGCAGACATACAAGTGACTGGCAGGTGGGTGTTGCTTACTGACTGGGTGCACCAGAGGCCGTCGAGGTCAGATCTTACCAGCGACTGCTGATACCTAGCTAACTGCCCATTTCTCTTTCTCTAGGTACCTTTGGGCGCATCAGTTCCCACGGCAGCTTGCCGCTCTCCTACTCCACAGTCAGCGTAGGTAAGAGGGACTTGTGCTCCAATTCAGGGACCTTGCTGCGTGGTGCTTTCACAGGGGAGGCGCAGTCCGTGCCTACAAAAGACCTTGGGAGAAAGGTACTATTTACCCCTTGCCACGTTTTATAATTGATCTCTCTTTTCCAGGCCCTATCTGTACCTCAGTGGCAGATGCAGCCATTGTTTACAGTATCCTTGCTGAGCCAGATCCGCTCTATCCATATGGTAGGTGAGCCCTCTCCCTCCCTGAGCCCAGGTGCTCTGCCTTCCTAGAGCCATCCTAGATCTCTTGTTTGTTCCCTGCAGGACTAAAACAGCCCAAAGCAACCCTATCTGGTATGTGTGCTCCTGACCTGAAAGGCTTAAAACTGGGAGTGGACTGGACATTTTTTAAGGTGCCTGTTCTACCTCTCTCTTTCTGCTGCTTTGCCAAATGAGATTTTAAAGGAACCAGCGCGTTCACTGTTCTCTTGCCCATCGTCATTAGAGCTTCTCATATTTAGTCTTACAGTTGGGAGAGGATGTAGCCTGGGTGAAAACATCGACAGGAATAGATTTTTTTTTTTTTTTTTTTTTCCTAAGGCAGCCTTTTGAGTAAAAGTCTGCTGGAGGCATGAGGAAAGGTAATGACTGTACAGTCGATGGCTAGTATGCTTCCTCATACTGCTGTTTCTATTGGAAGCAATGCTTCTGAACTGATTACAAAAGGCAGTTAGTTTAAAATCAAGTGAGGAAAATCAGTGTATCCGTTCGGTGACAATGGTGTAGCTGCTGAGCAGTATTTCATCATTCCAATGTAGAAACTGGGCTTGCAAGCTAGTACCACTTAGTGATTGTAATGCAACCCCACAAATGTGCTCAGCATTTCTTCCCTGGAGGAAAACAAGGACTCTTTCTGGCTTTGCCCCAGTGCAGAGGAGGAATAGCCTCCTCTGGAAAAAAAATGACCTTTCCTTTTCCTTAGGGGTATGACATGCAAGCTGTTCTCTTGGAGCAGGTGGCCTAAGGCAGTCCTAGAGGGCTGTAGCTCAGTCACTACCTTTAGGAATAGGAACAAGGAAAGCTCCATGAGGACCGAAGTCCTGGTGAGTGTACTCACCAAGGAGAGGAGGGCAGTTTCTAAAGTCTACTTAGTTCTTTCCTCTTATTCTCTAGGCATGTGATGCTGAAGTCCTGTCCATCTGTGAGAAAGGTAAAGAGAGAAAGTCTGTAAATCTCTTACTCTGCCTGATGCCGTGGTATCACTTGGTGCTCCTCTATATGTTTAAAAAGATCTTGCCTGAAGTCCTTAAAGGCAGATGCTTAAAAAGGTTTGCCTGGACAAACAGCAGTAGCTTTATATTAGGGAAGCCCTCCTGACTGCTGAGGGTTAAAAAGCTTGACGGTTGTAGGATTGTCTGATTACAATGGAAGAATTCAGTCCAGTGTGCTGAGCCTCCATCTGTATAAAGACAGATCTGTGCTCAGTAACACTTTGCAAGCTTAAATGGTAGAAGACTTTCAAGGGAGGGACTTGTTTCATGACATAATGTTCAGTAGGAAAGACAGGACTAGGTCTTTGTGATATATCCAGTCCTCTGGTATTTCCTTGAAATCAGCCAAATGGTGCCTTTAGGGTGGCTTTGTCAGATTTTAGACTAAGCAAAATTGATCCCAATGAGTACTTGGGAGTCGGGGGGAGAGACTCTACAATGCCTGGCATAGCGGTTGGCCTCCTATGCATTGGGGCTGAGAGTTCATAGTATTCAGGCTTTGTTTGCCTGGATTTTCTTCAGCCTCATTTCCATGGATACTCGTGCTTCTACATGTATGGAGTTTTCTTAGGAGAGAGGCACCTAAGCCAAGGAATTAGGCAAGCTTGGGTATTTATGGAGAAGTTGGGGTCAAAGGAAGAGGTGGATTCTTTCCAGACTGTGAAAGATTCACTTTTCCCAAAGTCTTGGTGTTCAGCCTTGCTCAAACACATCAGGATTTAGTGAACATGTACAGTTGACCTGGTTTCTTGAGTATCCCCTGGGTTCTTCTACCATTGTGGTTCAGAAGAGGCTTGGAATGGGAATCTCGTGATGCTAAGTAATCACTCATGCTGAGAGAATACTGGCCATGTCACGTGCTCAGAGAGGCACAGTCAGTTCGTCTTTACTTATTGGGTTAACTGGGAGGCTAAAGGGAGGACCCTGAAATGTCGTGGGTAGGTTGGGAACCTGTCTGCAAGTCCCTACCCCTGCCCTGTTGGAATAGTGAGATCTAGTTAGGCTGCAGGCTTTTACCTATGAGAAGCAGATGCAGCAGCCTGCGTGCCACACGACAGTGCTTGTCTTATAACGGCCTCTGGGGTCTCTAACTTCTCAGTGGGGTGGGGATTCGCAGCCCTTCTGTGGAGTTTGGTGAACTCGGGCATGCTGTCTGTGCTTTACCTGCAGCTGTGGAGTACCTGCAGAGTTTGGGAGCCAGCGTGGTTGAGGTGTCTCTTCCTGAGATGGAGGAAGTGCGAGTAGCACACGCAATCTGCATTCTCAGTGAGATGAGGGACTTCCTGCAACCTGACTTCAATAAACATTTCCAGGAAATGGTACGTGGCAGCAGCTTGGATCAGTGGCAGTAGTTGTCCCCGCTGATGCAGAACAAGTGTCACGTCAGTGAGAAAACAGAGGCTCTCCTGCTTTTTCTAAGACAAACCCCGTGTTGGATGACTACAGGAGAGCAGACCTGGAAGAGAACTCCTGGGCTGTCACATTCAGTTTCTTTGCAAACAGAGCCATGATCGATGTTTCTCTTTCAGAATTTGGACACTCGGGTTAACCTGGCCTTGGCTTCCCAGTTCACAGCTCTGGATTATATTACGGTAAGGAAAATACTGTGGTAAAGGCTGTAGGGAGGCACCTAGTGAAATTGTAAAGGCCGGGTAGAGGGTTCCCTTGACCTCCTCATACACGTGGGAAGGATATTGCCCGGCTGTACCGCTCGCCGCTGTGAAAGCGTGCTGAATGGTGGGGCGCCACGGAGGACGTGCCACCTGGACTGGTGTCCTGCATCTCGATTCCACACCACAGGAATGGTGTCGTCTCTCGCAGGGGCATAGGTTCTAATGGGCAGAGACTGTCATCATAAAACTCAAGTCTGATGAACCAAGGGGGCCCAGTCAGACAGTGGTGTCTCTGCTTGCAGGCAAATCGACAGAGGACTCGGAGCATGAGATTTTTGCAAGAGATCTTCAACACTGTGAACTGTATCCTTACACCAGGTATGGGCAGCCTTGGCTAAAGAGCTGGTACCCAACAGCTGTGTGGTGCATGTTAAGAACAGCCCATTAACATGAAGAACTCCATTAACTTTCCTTCCCCAATTTTAAAAGCATGTCTTTATTTTTTTGCAAAAAAAAAAAAGACTTTGCCTTGAGCCTTTAGAAGAAAACGCAGCCTGGTTAGAAAGACTGCTGTGTATTTCTAGACTTACTGCCTATATCCATGGCAGTGAGAAACTCCTCCTTGGTACTTCAAACAGGAGCTGCAGAGTCAGTGCCTTTACACAGGAGGGACTGGACATCTACATATGTATGAAGATGTTCTTGCTCTAAATAGAAACTATCTGCTTAATTCATAAAGCCCGGTGATGTGACTGCATTCCCGGGGTGTGAGTTTGCATCACCAATGTATATCAAACATGGATTTAATGAAATGAGCTGTTCCTGACTCTTCCTTTGCTCTGTAAGCACTGGACCAGGTTGCCCAGAGAGGCTGTGGAATCTCTGGGGATATTCAAAAGCCACTCGGTCATTGTCTGGGGCAACCTGCTCCAGCTGACCGTCCTTGCGACACAGTGTTGGACAAGATGACCTCCTGAGGTCCCTTTCAATCTGAGCCATTCTGTGATTCCTCCATAGCTGTTGCTTCCACTGCCCCAAGGATTTATGAATCTGACCTCTTGACTGGGAGCAGCGACATGTCCTTCACGGTCCGGTCCATGAGGTAAGAAGAGTGCTGCTTGCACTGTGGAAGCAAACGTTTGGGAACAGCTGGAGATTGGCTGTACTGACTGAAGGAGCTCAGGCTATAGAGTGGGAGAGATGGATCCCAGCTGCCTCTCTGATAAAAGGATGACTTTGCTGCTCTCCCAGGGCAGGAATGCTGACAACAGCTTTTCCCCCAGGTTCATGCAGCTTGGTAATTTTACTGGGATTCCAGGCCTTGTGGTCCCCATTGGATATTCTACTGCTGGACTTCCTATCAGCTTCCAAGTGAGTATTGACTCTTGGTAAGTGCTGGGCCACGAAATCTCCAGCTGGCTTTGTCCTGAACCACTGTAACCAGGTTCCCACCGTTCCACACAGCACACTTCAGGCAGTGGCAGGTAGTGGTAATAAAACTTTAACTTGTGGGTGAAGAGACTTGCCTCAGAGTAACTCACTACTGAACAGCAGAGGGACTCTTCAGGTATCTGGGAGATAGATGTCTCTGTCTCCCTGTCTGCTTGCGTCAGTGCCCACTATTTGTCACTATTCTTTCCTCTCTTTTCCTTATTTCTCAGTTATGTAACTTCTTTACGTCCTTCCTTGCTCTTCTCCCTTGAAATGGGTCTCATGTAAATAAAAGGCCCGTGTCTTTTAATTAAGCCATAGAGCTGCATTTATCCCAGTTACACTGATGCCATACTTACTGGGGTAAAAGGGAAAAGCACGTGTCCTTTTGGTGCTGTTGGGGGGAAAAAAAATCAGTTATGTTTTGCAGGGCTTTCAAAAGTGTCTGTATGTGATGATGCTATTTATTTTTTCTTTTTTTCTCTTTTCTTTCTCTGTGTGTCTCTCCTCTTCTCCCAGGTCATGGCAAAATGGTGGGATGAAGCTGTTCTTCTGAGGATTGGTCTGAAGCTGGAGCTGTTTCGTCACCAGACCAAAAAACCATCCATTTATTACGACATCCTCGCGTAACAGAGTCATCAAGACGGGGACTAAGTCTTTTTTTTTTTTTTTTTTTCTTAGTCTGACCTGACCAAGTATTAGAGTAGACTTGTTTTCAGTGTTCACCTGAATACAGCTTAATGGCAGGCCCATTTGAGGAGTAGGGAGGAACACTGACCTCACTTCTGCTTCCTATTTGTTATTGGATGGTCCAGTTTATACTGGGGAGACCAACTGTGCTAGCTAGTTCCTTGCTGTGTCTTTACCAACAGGGGAAGCTGCAACTATTTTCTGCAACTTCTTTCTGTGTAGGGGTCCTGTGTAAACACGGAAGATGGTTACGTCTGCAGGACTGCACCTGGCAGTTCATACCACCGTGCATGGAAAGGTACAATCCCTAGACCTTAAACCTTCTCTCAGAACTCCCGCTCCAGGATATAACAAAGGTACTGTTTTAAGGGGGAAAAAGCAGCTTCCCTTAAGAAATAATGCCTGGCTCCCTTGGAATGAGGAGGATCTTAACTCACCTGCAGTTAGGTAGTGTGTGTTGTGGCCCCTTACTAGATAGTCCCTCAGGGCATAACAGAAAGCCTGCAGCCATGGAATTGTTAGGGTGCTTCTGTCCCTTACGCTGTAGACAGTGTTGAGGTCTGTCAACTGCTGTACAAAGTAGGGGTGTGCTCAAGGCATGAGCAGTCCTACCTACATACCTTCAGCCTTACAGGCAGGGGGGAGGAAAAATTCAGAGCACGAACCCTCATCAACTCTGTGACCCAGAGCCCTGGCTCAGGGTTCTGGCTCTCTCCTGTACATTTCGATTTCCCAAGCTAAGCCTGGGAGAGCCTCGTTTTTCCCAGTGGTTGCTTAAGTATAAGCCTACTATTATTTAGGAATCCAAATGGAAGAAATTACCTAGTAATGCTGTGAAGTACTGCTTAAGGGGTGCTGAGCCAGCTTTTGCAAACAGGTGAAATTTGTGTGGTACTGAAAATGGGGAACACTAGTGGGGTGCTGCATAAGCTTAGGGAGACCTTACTGCAGCCTGTCAATAAAGGGGGCTTATAATAAAAATGGGGGCAGTTTTAGTAAGGCCTGTTGCAATAAGACAAGGCCTAATGGTTTTAAACTGAAAGTGAATAGGTTTTTGTCCTTAAATATTTTAAAGTGAGGGTGGTGAAACACTGGAACAGGTTGCCCAGGGAGGTGATAGATGCCCCATCCCTGGAAACATTCAAGGTCAGGTCAGATGGGGCTCTGAGCAACCTGATCAAGCTGAAGGTGCCCCTGTTCACTACAGGGGCTTGGACTACATGAACTTTAAAGGTCCCAACCCAAACTATTCTGTGATTCTGAGGGTTGAAGCTGGGTCCTGGAAAGGCGTTGCACAAATTCCTGTGCAGCAAAGAGCCTGCTCTAGATAAGAGACCAACCCCCATCTTATCCCAAATGTACATCCTGAAGTAATCCAGGTAGAATTGAGGTATGGATTAAAGAGGAGGCTGTGCTATATAAAGCATGACATTACAGGAGGAAAAGCTAGAGAAGACTGATCATACAAGAACAGGCTCTAAGCCCCAGTAACGTGTTTTGTTGAAAGGCCCCAGACTGTGATCTCCCAAGTGACGGTGTCCTGCCAGGAAGGACAAGGCCCAGGAGTAACCAGAGCCGAGCATGTGTTCATTTTGGAGTAGGTTGTGGCTGATGCTCAGAGGCATCTCCTGCTGCCTACCTCATCAGGTAGCCTGGGCCTGTGATCAGGCTGCTGGAGAAGCTGTCCTGCAGCTGGGAGCAGAGAAGCTCGCCATATTCTTACTTAACATGGAAGGGAAGAAGGAACAGAAAGTAGTTGTTGTTTCTCCCAAACTCCATACAGTTTGGGTGTTTTTTTTTCCCATCCATATCCACTCTTTAACCAGTGCTAGCACTTTACTAATGGCTTAAAAGTTAAGTCAGATAGCATCTGAATGGAAGAACATTGCCTTGCTGTTTCCTCCTTAAATACTTGAGTTAAAGCATCAACTCCTACCATCGGCTGCCACCAGCATCCACAGTTTAATCATATGGTTGATACCATCTTTTATCTTCAATCCTCCTATGTAATACCACCCCTCTGGATTCTAGTATAGTTCAGCTTTATGAAGAACAGTTTAAAAGCAAAGTATTTCCTCTGTTACTGGTAAGTTATTAAACGCAACCAACCTACCTTAAAGTGAAACACTGCTGAAATGCATTGTATAGCAAGCGGGGAGTTGATAAGCGTTTGACAATAATAAACTTTTGCCAGGAAGATTATGGCTTGAAGGAAAGGGCTGAATGTTCCCTAATGTAATGCTATTACTCAAGGGATTAGAGTGGGACGTTGAAAATAATTACCATCCTGCTAGATGAAGCGATTTATTTCAAAAATCTTGCTAACTCAAACACTACCCTGAAGTTATAATTTCAATATTTAGTTCATTCTCTAGGTCGAGTGAGGGAGCTGAAGTTACTAGGACAGATAGGAGCTAAAGAGTGGACTGTTTTTAAAAAAATACCTGCATCCTGCTAACAGAAGAAGGAACTGGGAGCTTTTACTGACTGACAGTAACTTTGTCTTTCTGTCCACTGCTTCCTCCCTCTCCCTAAACGGGTATCACCTAAGTGCACATTTGCAGTGCAAGACTTCTCTGGCGTACTGAGGTTGCTAAGATAAACTTGACTGAGGGTGGTGGAAGGCCCCCGTGTTTCCTTTTTTCCCCTGGCTGTCAGCTTATCCAAGTGCCACAGCAGACCGGCTCCTCCTGAACAGCACTTTTCTCCCCACAGTATGCAAGAGCAAGGCCGTTGTGTGAGCAAAGAGGGACACAGTGACCACACACACAATCCTGTTGCTTCACATAGATATATGTATGGGTATAGATATACGGTATATACACACTGATTTTTTTTATATATATAAAATAACACCTTGTTTATAAAGCGACATTTAATTGCCACTGGTTCCCTTCCCACCCCACAAAAACAATAGTATACAAAATATAAAATATTTTAAATATTTATAAACGCCGCAAGAAAAAAAATAGAACTGTACGAAAATATTTTTTTTTTTTTTTCTGAGGTTCCCTCCCTGCCCTCTGGGAAGGGAAAGAGAAGGGGGTACACGTTTGGCCGGCCTAGTGTGCCTTGAGTCCATAGTTGTTAAGTGGGTAGGAGTATGCCCTGCCTAATACTATCCGGTCCCGGAGCAGCTTAAATAAGACGTAGTAATTGCAGAAAAGGATGAGGGCCATGGAGAGGGTATGGTTCCACTTCTCCGAGCGCAGCAGTGAGTAGAGCTGGTAGCAGACCACACTGCCTTCGATGAGAATCAGCAGGTTGAGCAGCCGTAATGGACGGTGAAAAAGAAACTGCAGGGAAACAGTTAAAAAGGACAGCTTTCTGTAATTTGTTGCTGTGGTAAAGCAGGGAGGGCTACATCGTGCTGTGGGGCATGGGCAACAGCTGCTAGCTGCTACTCGGGAAAGGCAGCGTAAGAAAGAAGGCAGGTGGAAGTGTCCTTGTGCTTGGGAAGGGATGGAGAGGCCAAATAACCTCTTGGCCAGCTGACACGCTTCCCCATTTCCCTGGAAGGTGTTAATTAGCACCTTCTTAAGGACATGCCCCTGCCTGGTCAGAGCACTGCATCACCACAAGGGGAAAGCACTGTCAAGGCAGCTGTGGCTTCCATCTCGCCCAGACATCACCCATACCTCAAGGGGAAAGCCCCTCTGCTGCAAAACAGGTGTTTTGTTCAGCAGCGAGGAGCTGTCGCACAGCACCCAACTCTCTTCTGGGCGATCTGCTCTGCTGCTGTTGGGTTTCAGCCTCTGCTCCTCCCTCCCACAACCATTAACGCCTCAAGCAAGGGAAGAGATACTTGCGTAAAAGCGGGCGTGGGACACATCTGAAGGCACTGCTACGTTGTAAGGCCCAACTGCTTTATACAGGCAGCGGCTACGTCGCACCAGAACTCCTTGTGGCCATATTGTGTTTTCTGACCAGCTGTGGGGGAAGCAAGCCAGAGCGTTAGCACCCGCGCTCCCAACTCCCCGGACGTCGGTCCACGTGAAGAGACAGCACCCTGGAAAAATACCCAAGCCTCTGCCGCGAGGAGATGTCCTAGCTCCCGCTGGAAAAGCGCAAAGGTGGGCACAAACCCACCCGCTGGGCTCAGTCTGAGCAATGAGAACAGAGGGCTCCCAGTGCCAGGCCACTCCCTGCCCAAGCTACTTCTCCAGAGGCCAAGAAGAATCTCAGCATTTGTTTCTGGGAAGGAGCCAGCACTGACCAGAGGAGCTCAGGCAGCTCTCTAGAGCAGAAAATTCCGTTTCTAATGAACGGAAAGACCAGCAGAGTTGCACCTGTGACCCCTGGCACTGGGGGCAATGGAGAAGCGTCCTCAGTAGCTAGGCCCTGCCAGTAGTTGCTTATCTACTAGAACGTCTTCTCAGCCCCTCGCTGGGCATGCCAACCCCTCCTCGTCCCCGCACTCACATATGCTGTGGAGCGTTGCTGTAGGACCCGTGTTCTAGTTTCTGCCACTTGCCGAGGTGGGCAGCTGATCTGTGGAGCAGGTCACAGTACTTGGGAGGCAGCAGCTGAGTGGTGAGCATGACAAAGGCATTGATCCACACCATGATGAGGTGCTCACAAGACCAGCGCATGTCGTAGTACTGAGTGCTCTGCAAAGAGACCAGACAAGAACTTGGCACCACTGTCACAAAACAGAGGAAGGAACGACAAAGGACGTACTGCGTGTGCATCCAGCAGACCCACACCACACATTACAGGCATGCGCTTTTGGACCGGTGCTTTCGGAGGGTTACAGCTTAGGAAACACTCAAGACTCCCTTCTCCTTGGCCTGAAGGAGAAAGGGCAGGGGAATGATGCTTCAGCTGGTGCATCTCCTCCTCCAGCAGCAGATAACAAGGGGGTTTGCTTGCCACAGAACTGCCCCAGGAGCACCAATTGCACCAAGACTGCTACACAGATGGTGGAGCCCTGCCCGTTTCGCTACACCAACTGGAGCTCGTTCAAGTTAGAAAAACGACAGATTAAAAAAATACAGCCCCCACACTGACAAGAGGTTCTTGGATGTAGCTTGCCAAGCATCCTAGTCGGCTGTTTTCGAACAGGCTGACCACCAAAGCCTCTGATCCAAGCACTTGAAAGCCAGGATGTTGGATCTGAGACGGGTGACAACAGGTTGCCTTTTCTAGGGAGAACACAGCTATCCATCTGCCTAGGACAAGGGGTGGGAGAAGGGGAGTTAGTAAGTGGGGTGATGGGACTAGAGGTGCATCACATTTATGGCAATACCTATCCGCCAACCAGGAGCAGTACTAGTGCCCTCCGGATGCAGCCATGCTCCGCTATCCGGGCTGCCAAAGGGGAGACAGAGAAAAGGGGAATTAACCAGGAATCTGGCCTGGCAGCAATTCACACAACATTCAGAAGGAGACGGCGGGCAGGGGCACAGAGCGAGCCAGACAAGAGCTACCTTCACAAAACACAGTGGCAGGAATGCCACGTAGTAGGCACTGAAGAGAGAGTTGAAGAGAACTTCCTTGATCCTGCGGTTGAAGTCTGCTTTTAGGCACTCCACCTCATTGCGGATGAGATCTGGGGAGAGGGGGCAGCTGTGGGTGGGGATAGACGTAGGGTTATTGAACTGTTCTCTCAGGGATTCCCACAGAAGCGAGAGGAAATCTTTGGGTTTGACCAGGCTGCTGACAGCTGAAGACCCATCCTCCACCATCTGCTCCTGGACCAAGTAGCCACAGTCTGCAGGCAGGGGCTGTGCTCTGCTGTCCTGGTGGAAACAGCACAGAGGAACGTAGACACCAAACCTGCCAGGAAAGAAAAAAAAAAAAAAAAAAAAAAAATAGGAGGGATGAAATGATGGCCATCCCAACATGAAGCAGAAGGAACCTTCTCAACATGTTGGTCCTTATGAGAGGGACACCATGTAGGAACCCTTGCTCCAGCAGAAGCTAGTGGCCAACTCTTCTCCTCCATGAACTGAGTGCCTTCAGCTTTAGCAACTGCGCAGAGAAGCTGCTTTAAATCCCATTTCTGGAACCAATAACGCCAATGGCTCAGTCTTCAGTCACGGTAAAGGCCCCTCACGCAAACAGCATACCGAGGCAAGATGCTTCATCAGCTCAGCACCACCTCCTTGCATCATCCCCTGGCTACTCCTGCTTCCCCTTTAACCGTAAAATGAGGAGACAGATTCCAGCCACCAGCTCTGCTCGCCACGGTGGCTCATGCCACTCCCCAAGCAGCTATGCTCCCCCCACCCTGAAGGTACAAGGCGGTGTCACTCACGGGTAGCCCAGGAAGAGAAGGTTGAGAACAGAATGGCTGCGGAAGAGGTTGACCAAAGTCCAGCAGAGCACCCAGCCGCAGAGGGTGAGTAGCACCAGGCGCACCATGTAGTGAATCACTGATGTCGCACCCACCTGAGAGGCCTGCAAATGGAGAAGAAACATTCAGCAGCCCCCCTAACACTGCTGCCAGGACATGAGCACAGGGGGTGCCTGTGGAGGAGGAGCAGGGAGGAGGGTGCCAGGAGGCGCTGCATGAGGGACGGACGGCTGCCCTCCTCCTCCCAGAAGCAGGAGCGTGACTCTCTTACAAAGGTGAACGCCTTTGGTTTTATTCACGATTGATAGAACCCAAAAGATTCAAATAAGCACAAGCTGTAGGGCATGACTAAAATGTAAAAAAAAAAAAAAAAAAAAAAAAAAAATTCGGATCTGCAAAGTAGAAAATGTTTTTGCTCAAGTCCCTTATTGCTCTGATGACAGTCCAAGATAGACAGCCTGAAACACATTTTGTCTTGCTCTTTCCTTTAGAAGGATCACGTTTCAGCATTCATTTTCCTAGAGAACTGGAATGTCACAGTTCTCAGCTGAGGGAAGAGAAGATGGTGCACCTTGGCAACCCCAAAACTAGATTTCCACCACTCATCTCTATTGGCTGTACGGGCTACACTCTAGTGAGGAGGCACCACCTTCAGAAGGACAGCAAGAAAGCTTGTTCCAGTCTCCAGAGGGGAGAAGGCAACTGAACCGTGAAAAGATTCTTAGGGTTTAGAGCCAATAGAAGGGATGTGCGAGAACCTGCATGGAAGGTTTCAATGCAGAAACATCAGCCTAGAGGAAGTTTTACAGAGGATGTGAACATAAATGAAAATGGCAGAAATGAGAGATGAAAAGAGAACTTCAGAGATCCTATCCTCTCCATTTACCTATTAAACAAGAGATAGTTGTTTATTTTACT